GTTTTTGATGATTATGAGAAAGCCTGGTATAAACACTTGTAGGTGGACTTTTGTTTGGATATAACTTTGAAATTAGTGAGGTCAAAATGCCAGATACATTTTTAGGTGCTAGGGACACAGGTGCTTGGGATACAACTGCAAACAAGTCCCTGTACTCTTAAAAACAAACACAAATGAATAAATCAGAATGGCTTCAGCTCATGAGAAGTGCTAGGAAAAACATAAAACTAACAGGATAATGAATGAGAGACTGTGGCCAGGTTGGTGGGGCCAGGAAGGGCTTCTCTGAGGACGTTCATTGCATGTGAATATGGGCCTGTGTGATGAGAGATGGCACCAGCTGTGCAAAGCCCTGGGGGACCATACTGGGCTCAGTTAATGCAAACCCCCTCAGGCAGGATGAATCTTGGCCAAGGGACTAGGAACAGAAATAACTGTGAGGTAAAGACATGAATGAGAGAATTTTCTTTAAAAGTTTGTATTGTAGGCTGGGTGCGGTGGCCCATGCCTGTAATGCTAGCACTTTAGGAGGCCAAGGTGGGTGGATCACAAGGTCAGGAGATTGAGACCAGGCTGGTCTACATGGTGAAACCCCATCTCTTAAAATAAAATAATTAAACTCAACTTAAAATAAAAAAATTAGCTGGCCATGGTGGTGTGTGCCTGTAATCCCAGCTACTCAGGAGGCTGAGGCAGGAGAATCACTTGAACCCTGGGAGACAGAGGTTGCAGTGAGCCACTGCACTCCAGTCTAGGTGACAGAGCCATCTCAAAACAACAACAAAACCCAAAACCTTTTTATTATAGTATATCATGCAACATCTATAAAACCCAAGTGCAAGTGCACAGTAGATGCATTTTGTGAAATTGAACCCGCCCACCTTCCAGATCAGGAAATGGACTGCAGAGGTCCCTCATGTGTGCTTGTCCCATTATTAGCCCCCTGCTCTACCTCCAAGGTCATCTGATTAATTTTGCCTTCTTAAAAGCTTTTATGTCTGTTTTGTTTGTTTGTTTGTTGTTGTTCAACATTAGATGTGTGAGATACACCCACAATGTTGCATGTCATTTAAGGTTTGATCATTTCAGTTGCCACATAGTACTCCATGTATGCATATACCACAGTTGTTTTTTATTGATTCCACTTTTGATGGACATTTGGGAGGCTTTCAGTTTTGAACTATTCTGAATTGAGCTTCTGTGAATATTATTGTATATGTCTTTTGGTGAACCTGTGTCTGGATTTCTGTTGTTTACATACAGAGTGGCAAGATTGCTGGCTTGTAGAGTATGTATATATTCAGCATTGCTAGGTTCTCTCCGATTATTTCGTAGCACCAATCTGCATGCCCACCGCACTATATGAAAGTTCTGATTGTTTCACATCCTGACCTATACTTGCTATTTTCTGACTTTTTCATTTAACCGTCTGTTATGTAAATAGAGGTGTTGCATTATGGTTCAAATTTACATTTACCTGATGACTTCAAGTCCAGCCCCTTTTCATGTGTTTATTGGCCTTTGGGTATCCTCTTTGTGAAGTGCTTGTTCAATTCTTTTGTTCATTTCAAAGAGAAAAACAACAACTTTGGGTTCGGGTTGTCTTTTGTATATCCTGGACATTGATCTCTGTAGAGTCTAGATATGAGTCCTTTGTCAGAAATATGTGTCCCACTTTGTAAATTGCCTTTTTCACTCTGTGAATGGTGGCTCTTGATGCACAGAAGTTTTTAATCTTAATATTTTCCAATTTGTCAGCTTTTTCCTTATAGTTGGTACATTTTCAACCTGTTTAAGAAATCCTTGTCTTCTCCAAGGTCATGAAAATGTTTTTCTATTTTATCTTTTTGATGTCTCATTATTTTACCTTTTATGTATAGATCTGTAATCCATCTGAAATTCATTTTTATGTGTGGTATAATGTAGAGATTAGGATTCATGATCCTTTTGTAGTTCATGGGCATGATGATTGGGTGCTCACACACATGTGTGAGATGTGCCACCCTTGAACCTTGTTACTACATTGGCACATTACCCGTCTGACCTGAATTTGGAAAAAAAAATTCATTTTTTTCTACTTGGACATCCAGTTGACCCAGCACCATTCATGTAAAGATCATCCTTTCTCACTGCACTGTAGTTACAAATCAGGGGATACCATAGACTGAATGTTTATATCCCCCTAAAATTTCTATGTTGGAATTCTAAGCCCCAATATAAGATTGTTGGGAGAGGGGACCTTCCGAGGTGATTACGTCATGAGGGTGGAGCACTCATGAATGGGATTAGTCCTCTTGTAAAAGTCAGAAGAGAGCTCTCTTTCTCTGCTCTTCATCATGAGAGAACACATTGTGAAGTTAGCCATCTGCAAACCAGGAAGCCAGCTCTCCCCAGACATGGGATATGTGGCATCTTGATCTTGAACTTCCCAGCTTCCAGAACTGTGAGAAACAGATTCCTGCTGTTTAAACCACCAGTCTGTGGTATTCCGTGAAAGCAGCCCAAACTGACTAAAACAGGAGACCTTGTATGTGTGGCTCCACATAGATTCTAGTATGTTCTAATATTAGGTGGAGCCTTTCTGTCTTGCTCACTATACTCCATCTGCATTTCCTGGCAGTGGCCCCTGTGCTGTAAATATTCAATAAATATCAGCTGGTTGTGGACAGGTCTAAACTTGCCTTTAGGCAAGAGTTTTAAAATCTTTGGGCTCCCACTCCAAGAAAAGATACTCGGATTTCATGTTAGAGAAGACTTGACTTGCCTAGTTAATTATATTTCTTCTCTAGGTCCAAATATGTTTCTGGACCAGCTCTGTGGGCTTAAGTCCTTGGGGAAGGCTGGTTGATCTCAGATTGTCCAGTTGGCAGTACTGTATCTATTTAACCATCTAGCCAGTCACACAATAAATATTTTTTATGAGCCTACTATGTGGCAAGCATAAAGTAGAACTAAAATAATAGGATTATTTCCAGAGTTTCTATTTTTACATTTAGAACATTTGTTGTTTCTTTCTGTACAAGTTAAACACTCAGTGTAAGGAGAGTAATGTTGAGAATTTTTCTCTGTTTCTGGGGCGTTATTCTATTATAGTTATTTAAAATTTTTGTGTCAGCCTGAGTAAATAGGCAACAGGCCTAAGAATTAGAGCTTTTATGTTGCTATCAGACTATTTTAAAATAAAGAAAACCCTACAAAGAAAAAGAGATATAATAAATTTAAAGTGCAGTATTTCACACAGTGATTTCAGTGAGCAGTTAAGTACTTTTCTCATTTTCAAAATTTAGTGCCATACCAAAGACCAAGTTAAGAAAAATAGAAGAATGAATTTTCAGGCGGTTGGTGTGGACTCTGGATGTGCCAGTCAGTGCCAGCACACCAGATGGCACAGTGAGGGGGCCACGTGCCACGTGTCACATACCATGAACCAAGTGCTGTTCTTCTTGGAAACTGCCTCCTGGGGGACAAAAGAGCCCTAAAGGCTTCTCCCATGGTGCCATCTTGCTTGGTGACACCAGGGCCTGGGGTCATGTCCCAGGGTCTCTTTGTTCCTTCTTCCCTCTCAGGTTGTAAACAAAGAGGGACAGAGGATGAGCAGTTCCCCAAAGTGGGGCCAGCTCTAGTCAGTGGGGCTGCCTCTGCCAGCACTTCTGGTCCCGCACTGCCCATGCCCGGTGGTTGCTGTTTGAGCTGCTCTGAAGCCTTCTGAGGCCACTGGGAGAGGCAGCCTCGCAGCTGGCCCGCCTCAGGGGGAGGAAGCAGATTGCTAAGGGAGCAGGGTGGCTGGTGCTTGTGAATGTTACTTCTGTGATGAGACTGTGATTCTCTTTCTTGTTCAGTTAATGTCATCTCCATTTTCCTTACTTTTCAGCTTGTTTCAGTTGAATATTTTATATATTTAGTGAAACCTCACCAACCTTGAAGTCGTGAATTTTGTAACTCCAGTCATTTGGAACCGAGTGAAGGAGCCTAAAGGATATCAGAAAGAGGCTGGGCACAGTGGCTCATACCTGTAATCCCAGCACTTTGGGAGGCTGAGGCAGGCAGATCACTTGAGATCAGGAGTTTGAGACCAGCCAGGCCAACATGGCAAAACCCCATCTCTACTAAAAATACAAAAAAATTAGTTGGGCCTGGTGGTGGGCACCTGTAATCCCAGCTGCTTAGGAAGCTGAGACAGTAGAATCACTTGGACCTGGGAGGCGGACGTTGCAGTGAGCCGAGTTTGTGCCATTGCACTTCAGTCTGGGTGACAGAGCATGACTGTCTCAAAAAAAAAAAAAAGAGAGAAAGAAAGAAAAGAAAGGGAAATAAAGAAAGAAGGAAGAAGGAAGGAAGGAAGGAAAGAAGGAAAGAAAGAAAGCAGAAAGAGTAGCTCTGAGACCCTAAGGAGATATTCTGGTGCTGTGTTCTTGATTCATTACAGAGGTCCTTGGGCTTTCATGTAGAGTGTGTGTGCTCTTACGTTAGCCACATTTCTAAAATGTTTGGTTTTCTGCCTTCTTAGTTCACTGGAATTAGAAGCAACAAACTAGGCTGCTAGGTATAAGTCCTGGGAGAACATCTAGAAGTGACAGCTGCCAGCCTGACAGTAAGGAAGGAGACAGAGCATCTATAAAAAGCTCGGAAGGCCAGAGCCGTCTTACACACTACATAAGGCAGAGAGAGCTCTGAGCCTGTCTGTAGTCTGGAGCATGTCCCGAGAGGCAGTGCCACAGGATGCCTGGCTTCGGGAGGGAGTTCAGACCCCAGAGGCAGGCAGGCGGGCACACCAGGAATCCCTTTAGGGAAATTTGCAGACAAAGAGTTGAATACTAGTTATCTGAAATAATTTACCTATATAGAACCCTTGTTTTTCTCGGGATCCTAACCACATAAAATAATTCCCCCCTTCTCTCCATGTCTCCCTTCTCTCCTCCCCTCTTCCTCTCCCCCTTGCTTTCTTCTCACCCTTTCTCCCGCCCCTCCCCTCCCGACTCTCCTTCCCCACCTTGCTGTCTCCCTTCCTGTTTTCACTTCCCCTTTCACTTTCCTCTCCCTCACTCCTTCTCCTCCCTCCTAACACAATACAGTGTCCCCCCCCTTTTTTTTTGTCTTTGAGGTTCACATATATGCAGTGAGTTGCTGTTGAAAGTTTAACTGGTTCTTATGAGAGAAAAAAAAAATCCTTGATTCACAGCAGCCCGATTTCCTTGGTGTAAATCCTTGCCATGGTTGATTTCGAGTGACCACTGTGAAGTCCCTGGGGAGGAGCGGGGACAAGTACTTCCTCCATACAGGTGCAGGAGATGGAAGTAACCTTAAGAGCATAAGAATAGGAAAATGGCATCAAATAATTAGAAAGTGATGTTTTGAGTATTTACAACTTTATTATATAATTACTTTTCTTATACAATTATATAATTCAATTAAAAATTTTAGTAACATATTTAACTCGATATATAAAAAATATTATTTTAACATACGATCAATATAAAATTATTATTATTATTTATTTCTGTTTTTTTGAGACAGAGTCTCACTCTGTAGCCCAAGCTGGAGTGCAGTGGTGCAATCTCGGCTCACTGCAACCTCTGCCTCCCCGACTCAAGTGATTCTCCTGCCTTAGCTTCCCGAGTAGCTGGGGCTATAGGCACACACCACCATGCCAGGCTAATATTTTGTATTTTAGTAGAGATGGGGTTTTGCCATGTTACCCAGGGCGGTCTCGAACTCCTGAGCTCAAGCAATCCACCCATCTCAGCTTCCCAAAGTGCTGGGATTATAGGCGTAAGCCACCAAGCCCGGCTTCAATATAAAATTATTAATACGACATTTTACACTTCTTAAAAATATGTAGACTTCCATTATAGCTAGAGGTGATCCTATGACAAATTTTGACCAGTGAGATGAGCTTACTGCATGGAGCTCCTGAATAATAATTTAATGGTAACTGATTCCGTTGTCACGGGAAACTTGTCCTTTTCCTTACTTCCTCATATGTAAGTAGAAGAGGAAAAAAATAAAAATAAAATAAACAATAAAATAAGTCTTTATCCATGACATCTTTGAACTGTTGAACAAATGCTGATATCCAACTATGTTGGACTTCTCTGTATATGGCAGAAAAAAGCATAGTTCGTTCCCAGACTGCTATTAGGAGGTGGTTGTGTTACATGCAGCTAAGCCCAATGGTGGAATGAAACAGAAGGTGTTATAAGCAGAGACCTGCACAAGGTGAGGGCGTAGGACAAATGAATTGTGAATGAAGAAAATTCTAGGTTGATGAAATTGGATATGAAAAGGCCGGAGCAGAAAGGAGCTGAAAGTAGAATGAAGCATTTACTAATTACCAATACCATGCAACAAACTCCCCAGCATCTTAGTGGCTTAAGAAATGACTATCATTTATTTTGTTTGCAAATCTGATTTGTGCCTCATTTGTTGGGGGTGACTCATCTCTGTCTCATGGGGAACTAACTGATGTGGCAAACTGAGGGCCTGAGTATGTATTTTCAACATGACTCACTCACGCGTTTAGGAAACTGTTGGGACCAGGGCCATTGTGTCAGCTCTTCAGCATACAGGCATTTCCATGTGCTATTTCGGTTTCCTTGCTGTTTTGGGACTGGGCTCTGAAGTAAACATCTCAATATAATCAGAAAGAAGTTGTATTGCTTTTAATGATTTTGCCTTGGAGGTCACATAGTATTGCTTCTGTTCTAATCACAGTTCTACAAGACTTCAAGGAGAAGGAACATAGATTTTACCTTCTGATGGGAGTAAAGTCAAGTGAGATCACCTTGTAAGGAAGGGACATGGAATGGGAAATATTGTTGAAGCCAGTTTTGAACAATACAATCTGCCACACAAGAAAGAATACGAAAATATGGGTAATGAGAACTGAATTCAACACATGTTCGTTACACTTTTGTCATGTGCTAGTTACCTTTTAAGCACCTGTCATATAGAAGCAGACAAAAGAGACACGAGTCACTTCCCTTCCTTGTGGGTTTTACATTCTAGTGAAATGAGAGAGAAGAGTGATAGGTGACGAGGTTAGAAG